GACCTCCTCATGCTAACACTGTTGGCTTTCTTCCTGCTAATTACTGGGAGAGCTGCTCCGAGGACGAGAAAGCCCACTGCTGCTATGATAGTTACTGCTGAAACCACTGCAGCTGTTGCTGCTGCCACCACCACGACGACGACTACTACTATTCAGCATCACCTAAAGTTAAGCTTCTGGAAACTGACCACGTCGCGTGTGTCCAGGCTGACAGCATCGCGGCCGCCGGCACGACAGAGCGCAGGCACGGTGTGGACAGGATGGGCTCGGGGTCTTGAGCCGGAATTTTCCAGTGTCTCGAGCATGATGCGAGTTGGCCTCGCCGCAAAACTACAAGCAAGAACGACGTCAGAAGTCGCAGGCGCATCGAAGCAACTACCCCACACAGGACGTGCCCCGTTGCCTATGTGGGTGTAGCCTGTGTCGTCCTCTGAGTTCGCATGGGCAGGCCCCCATATTCAGTCACTCCAGACACCGCTTTCAATCACCAAGATGATTGTAATTTGCACCGAGCCGGGTCGCATTGTGCAAAGGCCCGGCTGCCGCAAGGACGTCTGCACCTTTCGGGGATTAGACAAGTGAGGGCCCTGATTGTTGAAATGGACAAATCTGTGGCGTAGCTCACATTGTGCAGGGCAGCGCTCTGATTAGTAAGCAGCAGTCACCGCCCATTGATGACACTAGTACTTGTTGTAACCAGCTACAAGCAGTAGTAGCACTCGTATTAATTGGCAGTAGCAGGAGGAGGAGTAGTGGCCCTTGCCACAGTGGTGGTAGAAGAAGAATAAGTAGTAGTCGTCGTCGTCGAGGTCGTCGTCGTCGTCGTCGTCCTCGTCGTCCTCGTCGTCGTCGTTGTCGTCGTCGTGGTAGTGGTACAAGTAGCAGTAGCAGCAGCAGCAGTAGTGGCAGTGGCGGCAGCAGCAGCAGCAGCAGCAGCAGGAGTGGTAGCAGGAGGTGGAGCACGAGGTGGAGCAGAGCAGGAGAAGGAGCAGGAGCAGGAGCAGAAGGAGCCGGAGCAGGAGCGGGAGCGGGAGCAGGAGCAGGAGCAGGAGCAGGAGAAGTAGTAGGACCCAGGAGTACGAGAGGAGTTGGAGCAGCAGTAGCAGTAGCAGTAGCGGTAGCAGCAGCAGGGCAGCGGTAGTAAGCCGCTGCAGTGGTACTGTAGGAGTATCAGAGCGTGAAAACGGTTGAAACAATGTAACACATAGAAGTTGTGCCGGTAACCTCGCTTCCAACGTTTCCGCCGTCGCCATGGTCGAGTCATTGTCATACTGACTAAAATGGAGATCATGCGACTAACCGTTTTTCCGATCTTCTCTTGCTGCATGTGTAAGTACGCACTACTTCGTGAACTTTGCAGAATGCCTGCCTAGCAGAGTGTAAAACAGCGCCTAAGCATCCTTTTCGGACGGTCCATCTGACACTCGTAATTTGAACACGCGCGCCACCTGGCTGTGCCGCTGCCATTTTCTTGCAGCTACGGCTTGAGTCTGGAGTTACGGAGTTACGTCTGGCTGGGTGAAACGACAACAAGAAGCCGGGCGCCCAGATCGTCTGGGCAGTTTGCATGCAGCTATCTTGAACTTGATTGGACAGTTGACGAAAAAGTCTCGTATGTTGAGAGTGAGGGGATGAGTGGCTCTGCTGTGTTTGCAAGTATCTGGGAGTCGTTTGTGTCACAGATATCCCAACATCATATCCACGAAGTAACGGCCGAACAGAAGGCCATTTGCCACCTTCCGGTGCTAATCGCAGCGACTAACTAGCCCGCACATATACTCGAAATGCGGATGCGCTTCGTTTCCCTCCTGACCACCTGTGTGAGTATCCAAGATTCGAGCTTTGGAGCAGACCGATCTGTCCAGGGCCATGGCATCGAGCAGGCGTGATGGGAGGTAAAGCTTGGGCTTTCGGGGTCCAAGCAGTCTCCGCAGTACAACGTAGCCCCAGGCCCCAACCTGCATCCAACCACTCAGGTCCCCGCTGCGTGACTTCCCATAAAGGTTCCACACCCGACACGTTTCGGCTGCCTTAGCCCCAAAGATGCAGCCGTGTGTGGGGCGGGAAAGTTGACACTCATCGTACTCCCTTTCTTGAAGTACTGGTGTCGGCAGCAATGATTCGATTATAGCAACCAATACGTAGTTAAAGAGGCCGAGATCCTTTTAAACACCTCCAAGTGCCACTTCTTTGTAGGCTGCTTTGTGCGGAACCGGGGCTGGGCCTCTCTCACGTACGCGCCGCGAGCTCAGGGGTCAGGGTTAATGGCCGACGATCGTGGTGGGCTGTTCGCGACTTCGGGGATTCCCGCTCCGGGGTTTCAGGGGACGAAAGATTTACTTGTAGCGATTTGCACAAGGCTTGAGGGTAGCGACGGTAGCGACTACAGGAAAACGTTCTCATGTTGTGTTGCCTGGATACGCACGAGGTGTCGAGATCGCAAAATTGACGGGGCATGCGGAGTGTGGCTGTGGGCTGGGCTTAGACCCACAGATTGTAATTCGTAGTGCTAATTTAAGGCTACTGATGATTTCGAGTTGCAGCTCTCGTAGATCCAAAGGGTTCCATCTCAGCTGACCCTTACTGATCTTTGGAAGCAAGCTCTCGGCTCAAAGGCTGTCGGCGTGTTGGGGCTCGCGGGCTGTTGGTTTTTGCTGTTCTTTCTTCGGGGTTTGGTGTGGGCTTTCCTCGGGCTTGCTTGGGCGAACGGGTCTTGCCCCGTATGCAAGCATGGATGCCTCCTCTGCTGCTGTTTACATGCCTCATGAGGGCAACAAATTGCCTCGGCATTCGCGTTGGTGGATTTCAGAAGATACTCTTCGTTTTCACATCTATCAGCTGGCAGTGGAACTACTGCATCATGTTACGCGGCCATTGTCTATATCGGCCCGCTGCACTGTTCGTAACTACTTTGCCTGCAGATGGCATCTGCTCTCTACACTATTGGTGTGGCAAGAGGCCTGGAACATGCTGCAGCAGCCACAGCGCATTGAGTATATACAACGTACTTATGACATTGATGCTCAGTTTGGCGCAAGCATGGTTGATTTTGCGTATGCAGTTCAACTCGGCAGCAAAGGCGGTCTTCAGGTTATGGATTAAAACGGTGATCTTCACTTTTGTGGTGGAACTAGGTTGCGAGGCCACCTGTTTCAGGCCTTCATGGTGGTTGCGCTCCTTAGAGGGTGCGCGCCGATTGGCTCTCATGACGCCGTGGCCGCGGAGCACTACAAGTGGGGCCCTACCTGCTTGTTTTCTGATCGCATATTTGTGCTGCTACTTCTTGCTTCAGAGTACAATTGACACCAGCCTGCTGATGCTATGGTTGCTAGCGGCTCAAACCTCGGCCCTCACAGATCCGCTGGTTTACCTCCTAGGATGGCCAGGCCGGACCTGGATGATCTTCCTTTCTGCATACGCAGGGGCCTGGAGGCTAGAAGGTCTGCGACCGGGGCTGCGGAGGACTCGACTGCAGCTGAGGCACCTAGTGCATCCTCGCGCACGGCTGCCTCTTCTGCTGCTGCTCATCTTGCTGAGCTCTTCCCTGCTGCTGTCACTACACGGGAGGATCGCTCCCTTTCAACTTCGCGCAGCCCTCGCAGAGCAGGCAGAGAATGCAGAGCTCGACTTCGTCCTAATCGGCACAGTGCTCGAGGCAGCGTCGACATACATGGTCCTCCACGTGGACCTCCTCCGCCGCAGCCGGTTTACTACGATCCCGACGCTGCTCGGGTATTTTCAGAGGACGACGGCCACATGGAACCACCGGAACGCTCCCCTCACTCTAGCGATTCCTCTGAGATTGTTCGAAGGGAAGATCTGCGGAGACGAGAGGGAACGCCAAGATGGGCTCTTGGCTCTCGAGTTGAGCGACGGGAAGCCCTGGACCGCGACCTCACCAGTCGTCGCGCGGAAGATCAGGCATTGGCTGCTACCGGAACGGCACCTGCCGCTACTGCAGAGGAGGAAGAGGAGGAGGCCTTTGAAGATGATCCCTGCCACGAGGAGGATAGCTTGGACTCGCTTTTTGGACCATCTTCTGATGAAGCCCTTGGCTTCGAGGGGCAGACTAAGGACTGATAGTACTGCTTCCTTTCTTTGTGGACAATGGCGGGCCTACTGGTCGAAAAGAATCCCTGCCACTCTGCGCCTCTATTGGCTGTGCCAGCTCTACCCACTCATGCTTGAGTATGCCAGCCAGGTCCTGTATGTCCTCGTCCTGCAGAATTTCCTCGCCCTCATGTTGCTCGCCAAAGGCTGGCCACACACTGGAACTCCTACAATCTTTGTCGCCCGAGAAACCTATGTTGCCCCTCTGCACTCAGTCTGCTGCACGCCCTCTACTACAAGAACAATGTTGAGCCGCGTGGGTCCCAAGTCCCACGGCTGTAGCTGCTCCAGACGCATCCAGTCATATTTGTTTTTCTGGTTGCTTGCATTCAGCATGATTACACATGGAACAGCAGCTGCAGTAGATGCGAGGGTTGTGCCCCAAGTCCGATGGGGTGCACTACCTTCAGGCTACGCCTGGGGGGAAGCCACTGGACAAACCGCGCACTATCTTTTTTCGCGTGACAATTTTCATTCAGGCCTGCAGCCCGTTACACCCAATGGACGTAGTTTTCAGGTACGCAAACGTGCCTTTGCCAGAGCTGTGCGCAGAGCTTCACAGGCAACGGACGGCAGCACGATCTACAGAGGTCGGCGCTGTTTCCTCAGAGGCCACTACGAGCTCACTGTGCGACCTAATCGGGTTCCTCCGGCGCCGCTCACAGGCAGCCTTCCGACAAGACGAGCCTTGCGACCCCGCCTGCGCACCTTGACCCTGAATGTCGGGAGCTTGGACTCCACA